TGGCTTGAGTGTTTTTGGCAGGGACCCAGAACAGGACAAGTCTAAGTGTCCCAAGGAGTTCCATGTGCCACCAGGACCCCATTGCTGGGTGTCTTAGTTAGGGTTTCTATTGCTGCTACAAAACACCATGACCAAAAAGCAAGCTGGAAAGGAAAGGTTTTATTTGGCTTACATGTTGCTCATGATCACTGAAATAAGTCAGGACAGGAACTCAAAACAGGGCAGGATTCTGGAGGAAGGAGCTGATATAGAGGCCATGGAGGAGAGCTGTCTGCTTGCCTGCTTCCCCTGACTTGCTCAACCTGCTTTCTTACAGAACCCAGGACCACCAGCCCAGGGATGGCACCACTTACAATGGGCTAGGCCCTCCCACATTGATCACTAATTGAGAAAATGCCTTATAACTGGATCTCGTGGAGTCATTTTCTCAACTGAGGCTCCTTCCTCTCTGATGACTCTAGCTTGTGTCAAGTTGACACCTAAAACCAGCCAGTTCAGGGAGGGAGGAAAGAGTGTTACAGAGATGGGAAGGACCTGCAGCCATTTTGGATGAACAGTCTCAAGGAATGGATGGGTAGTGTGGATACGCTCAAGGCTTGCTTACCAACGGAGACATTTTGGACTTGCTTTAAGAAAGAGCAGCAAGTTTTTGTTTAAATTTGGAGGCAAGGTCTCACCATGTAGGCCAGACTGGCCTCATTCTCACTCTTTAGCTTAGGGAGGCCTCAAACGCACGGTGATCCTCTACATAGGCCTCCCAAGTGCTGGGAGTTAGTAGGTGCACACCACGGTACCCAGCTTGGCAGTCTTACTTTTGCTTGTGTCTTTGTAGTGCCAGGACTGGAGAACATGCAGCACTCTACCTCTGAGCTGCACCCCGCTGCCCCAAACCACGGGGGTGTAGCTTTTGATATTGGGCTACTGGCTGGAAACTGACCAAGGTTTAAATTAATGAATGCCACTGAAAAATGGAGAATAGTGCCTTGAGCTTTTTTTTTTTAATTTTAACTTTTTTTTTCTTAAAGACTTATTTATTATGTATACAGGGTTCTTCCTGCATGTATGCCTTCATGCCAGAAAAGGGCACCAGATCTCATTACTGATGGTTGTGAGCCACCATGTGGTTGCTGGGAATTGAACTCAGGACCTTTGGAAGAGCAGTCAGTGCTCTTAACCTCTGAGCCATCTCTCCAGCCCTGCCTTGAGCTCTTTATCCCTCCCTTAAACGTAAGTTCTACTCTTCTCTCTCTTCCTTTCGTAGTCCCTCGCCCTTTGCTCTGATTCCCAGCCTCTGGCATTCTACCCAGTTACTTAGTTTTCCTACTGAAGAATAGGACACTTTCCAGGGCTGATGCCATGGCACAGTGGGGAAGAGCACTGACTGCTCTCCCTGAGGACCTGGGTTCAATTTCCAGCATCTGTAACTGCAGTCGTAGGGATCTAATGCCTTCTTCTAGGCTCCTTCCTGCACCAGGCACACATGTGGTGCACAGACGTACATCCCACCAAAACACCCTTATGCATAAAAGTAAATAAAATTTAAAAGTGAAGTCCAGTTTCAGTATGAAAAGAAAGCAGCCTGGAATTTTAATCCTTCCCCACACGGCAGGTTCCCACGGTGTTAGCGTTCTGAGCCCATTTGTGTAACAATCACTTGAGGGTCTGTTTTATTCTGTCCAAGTCCTGAAGAAAGACTTTATTTCCATTTCCCAGATTTTTAAAAGATTTGTTCCCTGTAGGACATAGGTTCTAAGGAAAAGACGGAAGCTTGGGCTATCGCTTTCCAGCCCTTTCCTGTACTTGTGGGTGTGCATTTTTAGAAAATGGAGACCATATAGAATTTGTCATTCAACCTCTCTCACTTCCAGGTCAGCATTCGAATACATTTTAAGAACTACTTTGCCAGCTACAACTGAACTAGAAGTGACTAGAAAAACAATCAACGCAAATTTATCTTCACATTTATTAACAGACAAGAAGCAGTACATCCATGATGGGAAGGCCCGTCAGTCACTGCTCAGCCACGTGATCACAGTACACAGCAGTGGGGAATCGCAGTGACTGCGGGTGCCTAGGATATGATGAGAGAGGGACCGTTAACTCTGTGATCTTCCTTCCAAACACCCAGAACTCCAGTCTAGTCCCGGGACAAGCACCAGGTACACCCCAGCTGAGGAACACCTACAAAAGACCCAACAAGTTCTCAGAACTAGCAAGGTCATCAAAACCGTGCAAGTGCCACAGGCCAAAAGGAGTCTAAGGAGACGCAGTGACCACACATGGTGTCCTGGGTGGGAGCGACAGCCGCAAAAGAGCCAGTGTTTATCCAATAGCAGACAGCCTCACCTGAAGAGAGCACAGTGACACCCCACTGCTGCTAAAGGAACCACCAGGGTCCGGGTTGTGGACAAGAGGCAAATCTGAGCTATAAATGCAGCCCGGCCTTGCTGGCCATCTGACTTTTGGGCCAGTTGCTTAAGCTGCTCTTATCTGTAGAGTTGGGGTTAATATTACCCAGCTGTTAGGGAAGAAGAGACAAGGCGGACAGATAAGGCTGCACCTGGGGCAGGGGTCAGGGAGAAACAGGGGTCATGGAGATCAAAGAGTACCCAGTGACTGGATTTTCACGGACCTCATGGCCTGTTTTCTCATGGAGTGCAGAAGGGATCCGTTACTTTAAATTTTTAATTCTACTCCTCCTAGCGGTTCCTTTCATAGTAGATACAGTCATTAGGCCCAAGAAGTCATTAAAGTGTTTAATAAGGTCATTAAATTGACTAACAGCGGCTTTGGAAGCCATTTCCATAGGAAATCCATGTGATTCCAGGTATGGGACATAGAGCTGTCCTTTGTGGCTGACAGCTTGCCAGCATCCGCGTGAGGGATGGTGGGCAGGTCGTGAGGGATGCCTCTAATTAAGAGATTATAGGTGAACCTCGGCTGTCTGGGCATGCTGTTCATAGCTGGAAGTGTGTTGAAACTTCACTAATTCCTACTAATTGCAGGGTGGGGGAGGGGAGGCCCATCTGAATTACGGAATATTTTAAAATAAATGCGCTTTTATGATGTTCTAGTACATATTTTAACTCCAACCAGGCTAACAAATTGCTGCCTGGCACGAGTCTTCGGGGATGAAGTTACTAAGGGCATCAGAATGATTTTCAATTATTTCTATGTAAATAGGCGTTTCTGAAGTTCTTCAGGTTGCTCGGAGACAGTTTACCCTCGTAGATCTTCGGCATTGCGCCAGTCACCTTCCGCTGTTAATTGGCAACACCCTTGGAGGATAGGATTGGTAAATTAAGATAAACCTGAGGCCATCTATAAAATTCCTTACCGAATGATAAGTGGCGTCCAAGAGGCCAGGTGGAAGAGGTTTTTATTTCAGCTGAAGTTGAATTTAGTGTTCCCCCCAACCCCCCAGGCGATTCTCTCATCCCTGCAGGCACTTACGGATTGGCTGACTGTCAGTGGGTACGCTGGAGGGGCCAGGCATGGATGTCTTGAGAGCCAGGCCAGGTTGCTTAAGGTTGGCTCCAGGAGAGGAGGCCCGTTTATTAGCACAGGACAGCTCTGAGAGCCAGGGAGCACGTGGTGCTTCAAGGACTACCAAAGGAGGCTAGGCATGGTGGCTCAGACCGAAATTTCAGCTCTAGAGAGGTTGAAGCAGGAAGATTTCTATGGGTTCAAGGCTAGCTTGGGCTACATAGTTCCATAGTTCCATAATGCCTGGGTTGAAGCATGAGACTGTGTCCTAAGCCAAACCAAACATTAAAAGAGTGAGGTGGGGGGCGGATAAGTACAGTGGGAACATTTAAAGATAAGCCTGTTTGGGACGTGCCTTCACCCGATGAGACGGTGTCAAATGCAGGGTCAGAGGCCGTGCTGCCTTCTAAGACAAGTTTTGCTGGGCACAATGTTACTACTTTAATGCTTTTGAAAAATATCTTATATATTAAGGAAAACCTCTTGTTTATTGTCTGTACAACAGCATGGAGGTCTGTCCAAACCCTGGCCTGCCTTCTTTTGTTTATTGTTTAAAAAAGTTAAAAATCTTTATGTTCTTTTTTTCCCCTGTATAACACTCTGGCTTTCTTAGAACTAGCTCTTGCAGACCAGGCTGGTCTCGAACTCACAGAGATATGCCTGCTTCTGCCTCCCAAGTGCTGGGATTAAAGGCATGTGCCACCACGCCTGGCTCATGGCAACTCTTACAACCGAAAACATTCAACTGAATGTCTGCACCACGTGTATGTAGTACCCAGGAAGGCCAGAAGAGGACTGCAGAGCCCCAGGAACTGGAGTTCCCATATGGATTCTGGAGATTGAACCCCAGTCCTCTGGAAGAGCAACAAGTGCTCTTGACTGCAGAGCTGTCTCTCCAGCTCCTTCTTCCACTGTTACTATCTTAAAAACAGTGTGTGTGTGTGTGTGTATGTGTGTGTGTGTGTGTGTGTGTATTGCTAATTTATTTTGTTGTTTTGGACCCAGATTATAGATATTTGAGATGACATAAATACTGCATTGAAAAGCTGAGACAAACAAAAGCTTAGTTTTCACAACCAAGTATAACCGAGTATTAAGAATTGGTTTTGGCCAGGTGGTGGTGGTGGATGCCTTTAATCCCAGCACTTGGGAGGCAGAGGCAGGCGGATCTCTGTGAGTTTGAGGCCAGCCTGGTCTACAAGAGCTAGTTCCAGGACAGGCTTCAAAACTACAATGAAACCCTGTCTTGAAAAAAAAATCGGTTTTGGACTCTGTCTTGGTCGTCTTCAGATACCAGCAACACTGGAAGCTCCCAGTCAGTTTCGCATTACTTAAAATTTCTGTGTGCGGATGTAGTGTTCTGTGGACTCTGGTGATACCTGATTCATGATCTCTACTTCTTGTTTTCTGAGGGCCAGCGAGCGCCCTGGCTGCCACTTCCAATTCTGTCCTCCCAGCTCCTTGCAGCCTTTGCCAAATCCTTACCTTGTTCTTCGTTCACTATGCCCTCACAGGAGTTTGTCAGCGTCTGGGTCCGGGACCCCAGGATTCAGAAGGAGGACTTTTGGCACTCCTATATCGACTATGAGATATGCATTCACGTGAGTACACAGTCAGTAGGAAATGGGATTTTAGGTGGTGAATGTTTTATGTGATATAATGATGCTAAGAACTAAAACAAAAAGATTTAATTCAGCCGGGCAGTGGTGGCGCATGACTTTAATCCCAGCACTCGGGAGGCAGAGGCAGGCAGATCTCTGTGAGTTCGAGGCCAGCCTGGTCTACAAGAGCTAGTTCTAGGATAGGCTCCAAAGCTACAGAGAAACCCTGTCTGGAAAATCTGAAATAAATAAATAAAAAAATTTAATTCAAAGAACTGAATTGAGATGATTCCAGCTAAGCTCGTATTACAAATGAAACAGTAAGATAATTCTTAATGTTGAAGAATTGCTTATTGGAAGCTCAAATTTTACTTGTTTTTTTTTTTTAAAAAAAAACTTAAGATTTTAATGTTACCTTTACTTATGGATATGTGAATACCTAAAAAATTAATGGTTAAAGAGTATAACTCATCACAATGACATCTCATTGTGATATTATATTTCAAGATAATATATTAAATAAATCTTAAGTTTTGAGGGGACATAGAATTTGGGGGGAAAGAGATATATATTAACCATTTTAGATTAATACAAGGTATTGGTTTTCATAATAACATTTTTTTCATATGTGCCTTTATATTTTGTTCAATTTTATATAGAGAGTCAGAAATTTTGGGAATGAATATGTACAATTAGTTTGCCTTAGTCTAGATTTGAAGTCATTAGCACAGAGAGTAAGTAGCTAGAAGTGACATTCCCCTGAGTGGAAATAATCCTGAGCCATCAGTTCCTGAAATGCCTGTCTGGTGTGGAGCCTGCTCTGCTCCTCTCAAACAAGGTCAGCACACCTGTCCTCCATGGGGCCACATGGGAGGACGTCCTGAGCCAGCTGTCCTGCAGCTGCTGCTGCGCCGTGAATGAAGAACAGCCTAGAAAGAACGCAAGTGAACCCCGGAGACTGTGTCCCTTGGAACTGCTGGAAAGACAGGAGGTGGTCAGACTGGCCCCCGACACCGGCCTTGAAGAGGCTCACTTTTCTTGTCTGACCCTGGTTCAGGTCTGCCGTCTCTCCATGTGCATGTGAAGAAACATGCAGCCATCATTCAGTGTCGTTGGGAATGATGGAATCACACTAGAAATCTCAACACCACTCAAAGCATTTTCTTTCAAGAGTCCCCGGTTTAGTAAGCTAGGTGAAGCTGAGTGGTCTCTTTCCCGCCCCTTTCTCTCTTCTCAGTTATTTTTTAAGCCATTGCTGTATAAGTTGTTTGCTTTTGCTGTTTTTTGTTTTGTTTTGTTTTTTGTTTTTTTGGTTGTTTGTTTTGTTTTTTTTTTTTTTGAGGCAGGGTTTCTCTGTAGCTTTGCAGACTGTCCTGGAACTAGCGCTTGTAGACCAGGCTGGCCTCGAACTCACAGAGCTCCGCCTGCCTCTGCCTCCCGAGTGCTGGGATTAAAGGCATGCACCACCTCCACTAGTTTGTTTGTTTTTTTTTTTTTTTAAACAGGGTTTTCCTGTGTAGCCCAGGCTGTCCTGAAACTTGCCTGAAACCACTGCCAGGCGCTGTATAAATTGTTATTTTGCTTTTGTTTTTACTCAAAACAAGGATCCATTCTCTATGAAAATATAAGAGCAGGCGTTTGGGCTGGCGAGTAGGCTCAGCAGTTCCGAGCACGCACTGCTTTTGGGTGTTCAGGTCCTGGCAGCTCAGTGCAGCTCACAGCAGCTGTAGCTCCGGTTTTAGGGGATCAAACTTCTTTTCTGACATCCCCAAGCTTCTGCATGCACGTGATGCACAGACTTACCCCAGGACACACACAGACATAGACACAGACACGAAATTAAATGCATGAGATTTTAAAAGGGAATAGGCATTTGACTCAGATGTGGCATTCCCCGCCTGTGATTCTAATTCTAGCACATTTGAGGCAGAGGTGCAGGATCAGCTCAAGGGGATCCTTGGCTATATAGTGAATACAAAGCTAGCCTTGTCCACTTGAGAACCCGTCTCAGTCCCTCACCACCTCCCCAGCCCCCGCCAAAAAAAAAAATAAGCATTTTAAACAAAATGAAACTATTTAGTTGCTTTTGAAGATGTTTGTGAGCCTGATCACATACTTCAGGGCATCATGAAATTTGATTATTTTCAGGAGATAATGAAGTATAGATTATTCTGTACTGATATATTGCATGATATGAAGTCTCAGAAAACTACACTATTTTGGTGGCGTTCTGGTATGTCCTGAAGCGTTCACCAGGTGGCAATTAGTAAATCTTCTTGTTTTGGTGGAGGGCAGGGACAAGCATGTGGATTTAGAGGGACCGAGTCAGTTAGTGACCTCAGTGTAGACTTGCGCTTGTGATACGATTCCAAGCAGATGGGCGAGTGAGGCTTTGGGCTAGCCTCGGCTAACTCTGCGGGCATCCTCTGGGAACCCGTTCACTCAGATGAAGCTCCAGGTGACTCTGGAATGTCCACATTTACGTGGGGTTGTAAAGCAAGAGATGGCAGCTGCCTGCCCTGTGGAAGAAAGGCTCACAGATGGACCCTGTTCTGCTCTTGGTATCATGTGAATTTTTGTTACTGGCACCCGTGGTGACTGTGAGCCATGCTGGCGATGTCAGAAGTTCCTGCTGTGGCCTGGAACTCTCCGAGGAGAGCACTGAGAGCATGTCTGCTTGGACCTCGTTAGGGCCCTAGTTCTGGTGTCACAAAGCCTTGGTCCCAAGGAGCGCGTTAGAGTCAGGCTGTGTTTTGAAGTTGTCCTGCAGAATGTCATGATGCTGTAGGCATCTCCTGTAGGTTTCATTTCTGTAGCAGCAGAAGTGGCTGGATGTAGTGTTCTGTGGCCTTTGCAGGTGAGTTCCTCTCCCCCTCCACACTCCCCCACACCCCTGACCCCAGACAGGGCTTCTCTGTAAAACATCTCTGGCTAAGCTGTGAACTCATTCTATAGATAAGGCTGGTCTTGAACTCACTGAGATCCACCTGCCTCTGGCTCCCAAGTGCTGGGATTAAAGGCCACCATTGCCCAGCTGTAGGTGAGTTCTTAACCTCCAATACATACAGTCATTTAGATTTCCAAGAACACAACTAGGCTTCATTGGTAGAATAGTTTTTGAAATGATACAGATCTTAGTAGTGAAAAGTTAGTTTCTCATTTAGCAATATAATGATTAGGAACTTAATTTAAAATAAATGTATAAGGCCAGGCCTGGTGGTACATGCCTTTAATCCTAGTACTTGGGAGGCAGAGGCAGGTAGATTTTTTTTTTAGTAGGTCAGCCTGTTTTACATAGGGAGTTTCAGGACAACCAGGGCTGTACAAGAAACCCTGTCTTGCCGGGTGGCGGTGGCACACGTCTTTAATCCCAGTACTTGGGAGGCAGAGGTAGGCAGATCTCTGTGAGTTTGAGGCCAGCCTGTCTACAAGAGCTAGTTCCAGGACAGACTCCAAAGCTACAGAGAAACCAGGTCCCGAAAAACAAAACAAACAAACAAACAAAAACAAAAAACAAAACCAACCAACCAAAAAAAACCCAAAAAACAAAACCAAAAAAACAAAAAAAAACCCTGTCTTGAAAAACAAACAAAGAAACCCCCCCCAAAAAGCAAAAACACAAAACACATACACTATTCCCGGAGGGTTTTTTTTTTTTTTTTTTTTTTTTTTAGGGGTGGTGGTTGAGATTTTGTACAGGATCTTACTTGGTAGCCCAGACTGCTTGGAATTTGCTTTGCAGCCAAGCTGGCCCCAGCCAGGTGATAATCCTCCCGCAGCCTCTTGAGTCCCTGGGTTCCAAGTGTGAGTCAGCACTCTCAGCTGAGATGACCTTGTGTTTTGAAGACACAGATGTTTGTCAGCTTTGCATTTTACCCCAAGGAGACTATTTACTCCTCGTGCTTACCCAAAGGAGTGACCTCATGGTTTAGCTTAGGCTGGGGACTCTGGACCTGTTTTCCGAGTCGTGTCTCAGGGCTGCTCCAGGGAAGCAGACAGCTAGTCACTAAAAGTGTTAACTGTACTTCCCAGGTGCTTTTTGTCCATCTTCAGATCCACCCTGATTTCCTACTCAGGAAGCTCGAGCTGATGTCATTTTCCTGGAGTAGAACCCAGGCTGACATTTATGTCCGTCTGTCATGGAACTGTTGCTGAACTGGGGTTCTGCTGCTTTCCTGACTCATCATCCACCTCTCTCATTGTCTAGGAGGATGGGAAAATGTTGTCTGGTTGAGCTATGGCTTCAGGATCCCCAGTGACCGTTGGCATTCCTGTTGAGATGTAGAAGGCTGCAATGCCTTTTGAAGGGCTGTGGGAGGTCAATTCTTATCTATACAGGCTTTGGGGCGCTGTTAAAAATGCAAGGAATGTCCCTGCACATGTTGCATTTTAGGGTGTGTGTGTGTGTGTGTGTGTGTATGTTTGTCAAGATAGTATCTCACTTTGTAGCCCAGGGTGGATTTGAACTCCTGGCCCTCCTGCCTCAGCCCCCTGAGTCTGAGATGACAGTGTGGGCTACGAAGCCCACCAGAATTTATTTCCTAATCTTTGGAAACAATGTTTGTAGTTAGGAGAGCACTGATTTCCTTCAGGATTCTGGTCAGGGTGTGGCCATGCCACCCAAAGGTAACACTGCTCACTTATGTCACTGTGACTTCTTCAGGCCTGAGACTGGTGAGTTACGTGCAAGACTGCACGGTGCCCACATACATGAAACTAATGTGGCATGGTTTGCATCCTCTTTAGAGTGAGCATCGCATTGTGAGTTACATATGAAATGAGAAAGTGCTTTTTCCTGTAGGTGAGCCTCACGTTTTTCTGTTTCTGCACAGACGAATAGCATGTGTTTTACAATGAAAACATCTTGTGTACGAAGAAGGTACAGAGAATTCGTGTGGCTGCGGCAGAGACTCCAAAGCAATGCATTGCTGGTGTAAGTGACTTATGGGTTAAAGTATGGAGATCTGTCTGTGATAGTCTAGAACTGAACGTTGATAGCGTTAAAATGCGCGAGGTAAGGACAGGTCACAGATTCGTTTCCTCCGGTTACTTCTGTGCCTACTGCGTCTGAAGTTAAAATCCATCATGTGACTTTACCAGCTTTTATGGATATTAATCACCAACGGCCCCAGAATTGCTTTGAGACAGATTTTCCTTTACGTTAATATTATACAACAATAGTTATGTGATAACCGTGTGATAATTATTACCATGCACGATGTGCCTTCAGTTGAGGGATTTCTGCAGCTGAGTCATCTTGATTTGCTGATTTTTTTTTTCTTTCTCATCAGAGAATTACCAGAACTTCCATCTAAGAACCTATTTTTCAATATGAACAATCGCCAGCACGTTGACCAGCGTCGTCAGGGCTTGGAAGATTTCCTCAGAAAGTAAGTGAGAGTCTGTAACCAGGCTGGGGTGCAGGCAGTGAGAATGTGGGTTCTCTGCTCTGAAATGCCGCTGGCCTGTGGGCCTCGTATGTTCATATCCTGTATTAGAGTGCCACCTTGTGGACCACCTTGAACGGTGCAGACGTGAATGGCGCCTCCGAGAAACAATGGGCAGGCGAATCAGAATAAACACATGGTCTCTTAAGAGTAGATACAGTGGCAGCTTACACTTCTAATGGAAGCACCCATGAGGTTGAGGCAGGAGGATTTCTGTGAATTTGAGGCCAACCCAGGCTTGCAGTGAGTTTCGGGCCAGTCCATGTCAAAGAAATACTCTCCTACCCTTAAACAACAATAACAACAACAAACCCAAAGGAAGCGGCAACAGAAATAAAGCAGCTTCAAGTTCCACAGGAGGCTGGCTGACAAAAGTAACGTTTCCCAGGAAATAAGTGTGCCTTATTACTTAAAACAAGCACTTCCTTAAAGCCGGCCATATTTGCAGCGGTTAAACCCGACAAGCCAGACTTGTCTGTTCCAGAGCCCTGAAGGCCCTTCCCTGACCGAATGGCTTTACTCTTCTTCGCAGAGGATGGTTTGTCCATGCATGTGTCATCCGAGTAGTCTCAGTGCGTTGATCCTGGATTTCTGGGATGAGCTGCCGAGTCCTTCCTGCTAGGATCTACCTTGTCTCATTCGCTCTCTAGAATGCCAGTACGGGAGACTTGTCCCTCAGTGGCTGGACCAGAGACTCTGAAGCTAGGCTACTTAGGTTCAAATCTTGGATCTGCCACTTTACTAGCAGGGAGTTAGGCAAGCCCTTTACTTTCTCTGTGCCTCCATTGTCCTACCTATACAATGGGGGCAATGGTAGTCCTTCCCCCATAAGGGCTGAGACAGCTGAGTAGGCGAAGGACTGTGGGGCACTGACACTGCCTGGCAACCCAATGTCCACGTGCTGACCTTTGACCTTTACTATTATTTTAGCACACTCACGGCTGAAATAGCTGTGAGCTTGAGCTTGTGTTTTGTTTTGTTTTTTTTTCATATTCTAGATAAGGAAGTAGGCAGAGTCAGGTGAGTACCAGTTGGAGGTAGGGGCCTTGAGTGTCCCTTCTTTTCTAGTGGTTTTGGGGTCTGAAATTATCTCCTTTTGAGTTCAATAAGTAGGACTCGGAGCTAGTCTGAAGCAATACGCTGCTTTCCCCATATGACTCACTTATAAAGGGCCTGGGTATTAAGTATGCACATAAATATTAATACTTAGTTCAATTAGATTGACACAGTGCCCTTCCTTCCAAGAGGCCACGGGGACACACGGAAAGCTGGAAGCCTATGAACTGAGTGAGGGCAGGGGAAAAGACAGACACCAGAGCAATCCCTATGAGAAGAGTTCAGTCTTCTGAAAACATTACCGCAGTGTCCTTTGTGGGGTCACACTGTGGCAGAACAAAGGGCTGGGCAGGACTTTTCCAGTTAATTGTTAATTGTCACCTCTAAGGTGCCCAGGTGGCCAATGGCGTCTCCCTTAAGATGCATGTAGCTGGCGTTTACAGAGCAGCCTCGTTCCGGATGCTCCCCCAGGGAAGCCTGCAGCCTGGGCAGGAGTAGGCAAACAGCCGCTGCTAGCACTGGGGAGCTGTTGGGCTTTTGCAAGTTCAGGGACAGCAAGCATCTTTGTGTTGATGTCACTAGGTAAGTGCAGGGCACTGATCCTGACGCTGGTCCTTTGAAACAGGGTCTCATGTAGCTGGCCTCCAGTGCACTGTGTACTTGACTCTGGCCTTGAACTCCTGACTGCCTGCTCAGATTGCTGGGATCACAGGCGTGTGCCACTGTGCCCAGCTTCTGGGTTTTGCTCCATGCACTGTTTTAAAGCACTGTACTTTCACAGTTGGTCTCCCCACATCTGCCCCCGTGGGATTGTGACAGGGTAGAGGTGTTTTGTACTGTGTTTCATTTGGCTGTTCACTGACTTTGACACACGTCACAGTGGCGAGTATCCTGCTTCAAGAGCTCAAGAAACGTGGGTATAAGTCTCCCATCTGTCCTGGCTCTTGATATTTTCCAGGCTGTGGAACCCGGGTTGATTCTTTTGAGTCCCTGGGTTGCTTTGGTTGTGGAGTACATTGCTGTTGATGCTGGTGGCTGTGTTGTCAGAGACCGCTTGGAAAGGACTCTGAACGACACATGCTGACCCTCCGTCTGCCAGCTGTTTGCCTGGCTGCAAGCACAGACAGAGTGCATACACGTTGTTTGTCCCGAGACGCTCCACTCCCATTGGGAGCTCTGAATTAATTCAAATTTGATCTGGGATCTGGAGGCATGGGTCAGTAGTTAAGAGCATGTGCTGATTTTCCAGAGGACCCAGGTTCAGTTCCCAGCACCGACGTGACAGCTCACAACCCTTTGAGACTCTAGTTCCATGGGATTCAAAGCACACTTCTGGCCTCCTTAGGCACCAGGTGTGCACATGTGCACCTGTACGGTGCACAGATACACAGATAGACCAAATACTCAAACATGTAAAGTGAAAATAAGTAAGTCTTAAATTTAAAGCAACAGATCTGAATAGCCACTGGAGGATCAAATCACAGTGCAGACAGCTTTCCTGGGATACTCTTTATTCCGTGGGAACATTTGTTTCTAATGAGTTAGTTTCACATTGAAAATGAAACGGGAGGGGGCTAGAGAGGCAGCTCAGTGGTTGAGAGCACTTGCTCTATTCCAGAGGACCCAGCATTTGTTTCCTAGCAACCACATGGTGGTTCACAACCATCCGTGACTGTAGTTCTAGGGCCTCTGTTATATTCTTCTGATTTCCATGAGTACCAAGCACACACGTGGTGCCCATACATACATGTAGGCCAAGCACACACAAAATGGAATGATTTTAATTTAAAAAAATGAAAGTGGCTAAAGGTGCTTGCAGCCAAGCCAGACAGCCTGAGTTTGATCCCCAGAACCCCGGGGGTGAAGGAGCGAACAGACGCGGCCAGTTGCCCTTGCAGGATGTGTCCTGAACTACATGCTGTGTGCTATGGCATACATGCACCCCCCCGCCCCGACAAGCACACGTTAATGACGGCCTGAGCCCTCCTTTCTGAGTCACATTTGTTTGCACAGCTCCCTGTTGGGTCCAGTTCGGGCCCGAGTAGCAGCCATCCATGGCTTTACCCCTGGTGCCCCTCCTCCAGTCAGCCCTACACCACCTAGGGCAGCTGGGTGAGATGGGCACGTCAGGATGGTGCCTAATGGCACCTCGGTGTCCTCTGAGGCATCACTGGTCCCCATCCATCCATAGCCAACCCCTCGTTTGGTGGAAGGCCTCTAGAATCAATAGCATTAAAATGTGACATGTGCTGGTTACAGACTCTAAGCATAGATTTAAACATTTTGATATTTATATACATTTTGAAGTTGTTAAGATGCCATGAAAGCAAAAATATTTCTGCATATGTACAGTGTATAATGTAAAACAAAATTTTCACCTCTAGGTTATTTGTGTAATAATATGTACTCAGTATGAACAACATACATATTCTGTCTGACACTGAGCTCGTTTCTCCGGTGGCCGGAGAAGATCACGTGTTGGTCTTGTACATGCTGGATGCTGCAGGTGCTTTGTTTCAGAACTTACTAGCCTTGCACGGTTGGGATTGTCGCAGCTGTGCAAATTTGGTCCAGTGTGGGCATGAGTAGGAGTCATCCATCCATGCCACCCTCGGAACCCAGGCGTCCTGTGCTCTCGGAACTGCTGTGTTTATGATCGGCAGAGCAGCCACTGCAAGCTGAGCTGGTCAGTGTGACTGTGAGATTTTCAGACATTCATTTTCCCTTGTGTCTGTCATTTTCCTCCTGTATCCTCCTAATTCTTATTTGTAAGCGCTTACCATCGTAACGGAGACAGAGTTATAGAGGTACGAGGTCTGCGGGAGGCCCCGCCTGAGCCAACCCCTCTTTGCAGAAGGCGTCCCAGCAACAGCACACACAACCACAGTTTAGACTTTCTGTTGTGTTTTTTATATCATTTTAATTCATTTTTCGTTGTTGTTTTGGAACAGTCCAGGCTGATCTTGAGCTGATTATGTAAGGGAGGGTGGCTGTGGTGAGAAAGTTGTTTGTTTTGTTTTGTTTTTTAAAAACAAAAGACACATACACATAGGCATGCACACAGATACACAGAGAGAGACAAACGCATACACAGGTATACACAGTTTTTTTTTATAAATCTCTATGTTCAATAGAGGGCACCACAGCATAGATTATGAATATCTTTCAATGAATATTTGTAGGTTTAAATTATTTCTCTCATGGTAACAAGTAAAGAGGCCGAGTTGGCTTTGCCTTTCCCCCAACACCTAACCTTCTGTATACTTTCCAGATGTGTGTAGAGAGTTCAGAATATCCAGGGCATCTGTAGATTACATGGTTTTGTGTACTGTAATTGTTCTTCAGCTGAACCACTGTATAATATGTTTAGTAAAATCACATTAAGGAAATCCAGACTTTACTGTGTCTGGTGAAGGGGAAAGCAGGCCTTGCTTTGTCTGGCATTGTTGGGAGGAGAGCAAGGGGTGGGGGAGAGAAGTAACTTTGACTTGGATTGTAAATATGCTTTCAGAAATCCCTTTGACATTCTATAGGCTGTTTTGTTAAAACTCCCACTATAAAGGCTTGAAAATAATATACATTTATTTTATTTTATTTTTTTTGGGGGGGGTGTCTCAATATGTAGGTAGGTCTGGTTGTCCTAGAACTCAAGTTGTAGACCAGGCTGGCCTCGAACCCACAGAACTCTGCCTGCCTCTGCCCACTCCTGCCCCCTAGTGCTGGAATTAAAAGTGTGCGCCACCACAACCACGTACACATTAATTTTTATGGAAGTTTCTCACTCACAGAGATTCACCTGTCTCTAACTCCCGAGTGATGGGATTACAGGTGTGCGCCACCATTGCCCAGCTAAAGGTTGCATCTTTTAAATTAAAAAAAAATTAAAATTTATTATTATTTGAGATGGTCTCACAATGTTGTTCTGGCTAGCTTGGAACTCTTAATTCTCCTGCTTCAGCCTCCTAAGAGCTGGGTTTATAGGCGAGTACCACCACTCCAGACTCCTAAGATTTGCATTCTAAATTTTACAATGTAAGTTATCTGACCACAAAATGAAAACAAAATATATTAAAGTAGTTTTTTGTTTGTTTCAAATTCATACCTGTACAGTCCTGGTGGTCTAAATTTAGTTATCAAGACCGAAAAACTAAAAAATAAAACTAAACATAGTAGGCATACTGGTTTTGAACTCTCTCAGGGCCCTGTGGGTGTGAATATCCAGGGTGGTGTCTGTCTCCTGTCCCCCACTTTTACCCCTCTTTCTATTGAACGGGGTGACCTGTTCTCTCGCTTTTTACCCTTTGTCCTCCAGGTGGCAGTGTTCAGCAGAAAACAGGGAACCAAGGAGACTAATGCGCAGTCAAATTGGAAATTGAATTATAGCAGAAGGAAAGGGACAGTAGCCTTGAGGTCTCCATCAGCCTGCACTCTGGTCACTTTTGTTTGCGGTGCCCATGTGTTAGGTACCCAGCAAGTTAATAACAGCACGTGAGCAGTTCAAGGCTCAGTAGAATTGCTTTAGACATGAAATAAAGCTAAAATGAATTTGTGTCCAATATCGTTGCCATTAGTGCACATTACTCCTGTGCTGTAATGCCTCAAACCATCTGAAATCAATTTTAGAGATCACCCATTATTTTATAGAGAAAATAAAACACATTTCCAACAGAAACAAAGCCGTGTGTACAATCCTATGAACAGCCTCTTGTCCTGTGGCGGGTGGGAAGCTTCCAGCAGGCGGCCACAGGAAACACGCGGCTCAGACCTCACAGCGAGTCCAAGTTCGTCTTGGGGGCTTGTTGCCATGAAGCTCTTTCCTAATTTGAATTATTTAGACGTGGATGGGAAGCGTTTGTAAACAAGGAAGATAGATCTTAGTGCAGTCCAAGGTTCTTACTGCTTGGCAGATGAACCTTATCGTGCCGTGTGCCGTCCGGCCATCTTCCGGGAGGACCAGGCCAGAGGACACGGAGAGCTGAGCACATAGAGTCTTTGCTGGAGATTTTCTCTTTGCAAAGCATAATTGTCTTGCTTTTGCTTTCAGTCAAGAGTCTCCCTCCCCTCGAATTACATCTGTAAGTCTGTTGAGGCAAAGGGGAGGAGTGGACTTTGTGTCTGTAGACATTTGCCTTCTTCAAGAAATAATTGTGTTATCTGGAAGAAAAGGATGTGGTATTGTGATGCCCTCGGTATTTAACAAAATTGCTACTAATGGCCAGAAAGGAATTGTTTTTTTCTGATCGTTTGTTTAAACATACAAGAAACGAAGCAAGGTTCATTTGGTCTGAAGTGTATGGTCTGGTTTTCATAGTCTGTGAATGAGAGAAATCCCATGTTGGGCAAAATGATGTGTGGGTTGTGGTATCTCCCCTTTTCCTATATCCTGGCCCTAGTTTCTCCTGTAATGTCACCACTGAACAATTAATAGAAACTCAATTATCATATGTCAGAGATATTAGCTCTAAAGATGAAAAGTCAGTTTTTGTTTTAGTGTGACGGGGGGCGGGGGCACTGCCTTGGTTTCTTATTCTGTGGCACCCCAGAAAAGCATATGCTTGGTTGAGGACATGCGTGTGACCACGCTAGATTCCTGCTGCCTGGCTGGTTTCTAACCCTCTGTCTGGTTCTGATGCTGTAGTTGAAACTTCTTTGTCATCAGCGCCAGTCTGTCCTGCTGAACCACCAGTGTGAACTCCTTGGAAAAAAGGTTTGGGATCGAAATGACTTGGTTGCTTGTTTTGACAGGAGATGCATTGCTCCCGAAGATCCTGCAGAAGTTTCTAGTTAACTTTAGGTTGTTAGAAGAGTCACCTGAAAGCAGCCCTTGTGAACATGTCCTTGGGTAAAGCATTCACTGCTGAAGTTTTAGTGTGGAATGTGCCGAGGAGTCAGCATATTGGCCTTTCCGTATAATTTTAACGGCAGTTGAAAGTTTTGATGTTTCATGACAGCTGATCCAGTAAAGACTGCGGCACCGACATGCTGCTGGTCATACATTTTTAAAAGTAGAATGAAATTCTCTAACTGTATCAGCAAAATATTTCCATAATTAATCCACATGGTCTTAACAGATGGTTAAATTGGAGAAATGTCCTTGCGGTTATTCTTTTAACAGATGTCCTCAGCCATCAGCTTCACATTCTTACTCACCTAAGATTCCAAATAATCGAGAAAAATTTAGCATATGTTTTCATCCCGTTGGTGGGCAGAGGCCAGAGTCGGGGCAAAGTTCTCAGCGTGGAGAGATCAGTAGCACCGTTGTAAGGGTTTCCTGTCTTCTACCCGATCTCTGCCCATGCCTGCTCATCAATTATTTTCTTTCCTCTTTTTTTTTTTTTAATTACAGAGTCCTGCAGAACGCACTTTTGCTTTCCGATAGCAGCCTCCACCTCTTCCTGCAGAGCCATCTGAACTCCGAGGACATTGAAGCGTGTGTTTCTGGGCAGACCAAGTACTCGGTGGAAGAAGCAATTCACAAGTTCGCCTTGATGAATAGACGGTTCCCTGAAGAAGATGAAGAGGGAAAAAAAGACAATGATGTAGATTATGATTCAGAAAGGTATTCCTTTGCACTTGGGTCTAGCAGACATATTTATTTAACGCATAGTGTCCACGTGCATGCACAGAGATAGATACACGTTTTGCTTTTTGTTGATGTAATACTAAGATAATGAAAAAATTAATTGACTGAGATTTTATTGAGCTGTGACAGCTCATCATACTGGTCTTCACACACACCTCCACACTGAATTAATGAATGCAGCAGAAATTCAATTATCTGCATTCTGATTATGTGACTTTCATTTAGTCAGACTTGAATTATTCGCGTTTAAATTATCTAGCTAAAAAAATATCCAACTGCACTCCAAATGGCTAATTAAAAGTCCAAATTTCCTGTCTCTCTTTGTGACTGGAGATAATGAAAGTTCCCCTCTGTTACTCAGGCTTTGAGTGTGTTGTGAAAACCAATTTCCTCCTTTTATTATTTTCCCCCTCTCTTCTTTTCCAGTTCCTCCTCTGGGCTTGGCCACAGCAGTGATGACAGCAGCTCACATGGATGTAAAGCAAGCCCGGCGCTGCAGGAGTCCTGAGGGGGAATCCCAGGGCTGCCACCTTAGGCACAAGACCGTGCCCAGCCAGAGAGAACGCTTGCTCACAGTAGATCCTTACCTAATGCCACTGTCACCGTCCTAGGTAGTTAAATACTTCCAGTGGTGGGTTCTTAGTGCTAGGATTGTTATGTTGTCTAATTTGAGCCAGGCTTCTGTATACCGTAAGGTCTGTGAATGCCATACAACCCTTTATTGCCATATAATACTTGTAAATACGATCCTGCTTTCAAGTGAAGTGAGTTATATGCTGTATATATAAAAACACAATTCAATTGGTCTCGACTGAATTTTAAAGAGCTAGGTGTATCAGTAGCCTTTAAAACCGAGACAGAGCATCCTTGCAGTGGGAATGGGGAAGTGACGGTAAACAGTGTGTAACTGGAGCCAGGGTACAGCACACTGTTCTGTGGAGACTGACCCCTACTCTGGAAAATGCTTTGCTTTTGGGTGTTTGAGTGAAATATTTAAGAGTATTTAAACTTTCCCATATACTATTTCACATGTAAATGGAAAATATGTCTTACAAATAAAGACGTACTAAAATAATGTTTACATCTTAGGGGAAAACATAGAAGAAGTGTTCGTAATTTTGCTTAAATTTGCTGTCCGTAGATTTAGAAATACACTTTCACTGTCCAAAATCGGCTTAAACATGGCTTCTGGCAACAAGTCATTTTACCATTGGGTAGTCAGAATCATAACTTCTGATTTATTTTCTGACATTTTACAAATGTGCATTAAAAAATCATGTGGTAACTTTCGCCGGTGGGGGCTCCCCACTACACATTTTTAAGTTATATTTTATAACTTAAGAGCTAAATTAATTTTACCCATAACTATTTCAGTAATTTTGGAGTGAAAATCAGGTTGCTAATGTCAGAGCTCATATCAGTGTTTTAGAAGCCCTTTCTGTTAAGGTATCTACCTGAAGATTGGCTTAATTTGAATAGACTAGTTCTCTCTCTCTCTCTTTCTCTCTGTCTCTCTCTTTCTTTTTGTGGCCTAAAGAGAAGATGTTTCAGAAAAGCAGCCTTTTCCTGGGATAATTAGCTAAGTCCTCCCTGCTAATGAAAAGAAGCTGAAAGAAGGTATTTTCACCTAAGTGGGACAGCTAACTTGTTGCTTCCAGTGAATGGCTCCCACTCCCACTAGGTGCAAAAGCTGCTACGAAAAGCAGCCATTTACATTGGGTGTTTGGTAGTTATTGTGTTAATCAAAAGTTACTGAACGGTCCTTGGAAATGCTTGTCTCAGAGAACTGGTAAAGAAGCAGAAACATTAAATTTGGCATAAGAATGATTTCTGTATACTTTCTCCCTTTTAAAAATCCCATGTGAAACATTATTAAAATTCTGTAATGGTTTCGTTTTTGTTTAGTGTCTTTGATCTTGTCCTCTAATATTAATTTAACGCAGGAAGATTTAGCAGCTGTTTTTCTCGCTGCATGGAAAGTTCTAGAGCGATTCCCACTCCTCAGTAGTGTATGAATTTGCACCATTTATGGTTTACACCATTTTTGAAAAGCATATACTATGCCACCAGGTATCATACTATTTATTGATGAGCTGATGTAATCATTGAAGTTAATACTGAGTGATGCTTAATATTTGCTCTGTAAACTTCATGACGTCATTGTTTTCACATTAAACATGGAAAAAAATCGTTGTTGGATCTCTTATTTTACATAAGAGAATACATTTCTACAGACTCAGACCTAAATTCAGTGTTTTTAAAATTCCTGATAATTTTTGACTGAAGAACTTTGGTAAGATTTGACATTTGCGACAGTTGTTTCCTCTGCGTTAGCTGCTGCGACATCTAAGCACTTGCTTTTTCAAACTGGTTTTGGGGGGCCCAGATATTTGGATCCCCTTCAGTTTCCAGTGGGTCACTTGCTTTGTCTTTTCTTTTTAGGTCTGGTGGAGAACAAAGTAACTACACAGTAACTAAGTATACAGACATTTAATACACTTTTAATGTGAATTAAGCTTTCGGTGATGCTAATTCTGGATGCCTTATGATTTACATTTCAGCAAAACTCTGTTTTCCTGGATAATTATGTAAGCATAGACCTTACCTCTGGAAGGTCATAATCCTATGTATTTGTTTTAAAGCTCACTTTATAGGGAGCTAACGGTGTCAATGAAAGTCAACAACCTGTTACTTAAGACTTAAAGTCTCACTTGCTAAAAAGTGATTTTGATTCTAGTTAAAATTTTCAATTAAAAAAAAAACCCACCAGGGAAACCACAGATGTTTGTCTTTGATCTAACTTGTCATTCCCTAAGATACTAAATATATATCACCAGAACTGTTCACGTCTACTTCAAATCTTATTTAACAATTAAATACAAACAAGTTTTATGCAGCATAGAGGAGCAAAAGTATAGAATTTCTTGTATGACATTAAGGATTTTTATCAAATTTATTTAGCTTAGCGATGTTATACCTAATAGTGGTAGCTGGATGTTGTTTTGAACTCGGTTTCACTATTTTGGTGCCTTATCATCGAGTTAAATGTGTACAGTAAGGTTTTAAGTATTGAGCCTTTTGCATGAAAGGCCTCACTTGTTTTTTCAGTGCAAAAATTAGGAAGGCATATTCAGTTTCTAAATCGCCTTCCTCTTAATATTTAAATTAATTACCTTGTGCCCCAGAAATACAATGCTGCGTCTTTTCTCACAGAGGAAACATTTTATTTCAGTCCAGTTTTGTTTTGGAAGAAAACTGTTTCTTAATTTACATTGGACACACTTCCAAATATAAAATGTCTGAACTTAGTTGTGGCAATTTGACATTCATTAAAGGCAGTTTTCTTTGCAAGTCAACGCAAAAAATACAGACATTTTAATAGAATGGAGCTAAAAAAAATCGCATGTAAAGAAACAATAACTTTGGATTTTGATGTATTTACAAAGGGTTTGGGGCTTTGTTCTTACAGTCGCGTCACCGTTGTCCCTTCAAGTCAAATACAATTACCCTTCTGTCTTGTAGGAAACTTCTAGGTCCTTGTTAGGAACAGTATATTGGGCACAAATTTATTTTAGCTGCGCAAACTCTGGTAGTTCATGACTCTTTTTCTTCAAAATTCCAAAGACTTCTTTTCAAAAGATAGAGCGGAAAAGAGGGAGAGAAGAAAACTAAGCTACAAAATTTCTGCAGAATCCACTCGGTTTAAGCTAAAGAGAAGCGCAGATGCTGCCGATGTCGGCAGGCTCTGCGTGGCATAACGCGTGGATTTGCGGCGCTTACCTGGGCCTTCTTTATAGCTCAGCCCCCACCCCCGTGGGCCTGGGCTCAGCAGCCCGCACGCTCCCGCCATCCTACGCACGCTCCCGCTTCCTCGGTCCGGTAACCCATGGCAACCGCCTTGGTAACCCATAGCAACTGTTCTGCGAACCGGGTGGGGCGGGGGAGCCATTTGGAGTGGGCGGGTGGAGAGCGATTTACCACGGCCCACCTGCCTCGGGCACCGCCAGCGTCCCGCACCGGACAGAGAGGACCAAACAAAGCCTCTGCACACATGATGGCGCGGGTGGGGGAGGCACGTGGGCCTTTGTTCTTCAGACGCTGCTGCCCGCCGAGAGCGAGGGTGCACACGGTTCCATCGGCTTAGCTGGCTCCACTGTGTGCTGTGCATACCCCAGGAACCCGGAACCTCCCAGACCGGAGCCCAATACGCTAACATCCATCTCTCCTCTGGACCCGGTGCGGACAATTGTGCTGGATGGCAGAACTGGGCCACTGGGGAGGGAGCACGTGCTGCTGGGTCCTGGATGAGGCCGGTGTGTTCACGCGTGGGGACATATAGGTCCCCAAGCTGCCAATCCAGGTCACTTAGGGATGACCGGCGGTGCGAGGCCTCTGGTGGACGGACGGGGTCGCTGTCGGGCAGTGCGGCGCAGCTGGTATCCTGCGGGCTCTGCCCAGAGCATCATCTGCTCTCTGGTGCTCGCCAGAACCCAAGGCTGCTGTGAGATGGTTTAGGAAACGGTATCTCTGCATCCTGCATCCGGCCACAAAGCAATACGGTGGGGTGGCGGGGAGACGCGCTAGGGGTCCAGAGTCACGGTTTCAGATCACGGTCTACCTAGCTGTGACTCCAAGCTCATTTGGATGGTTTTTATTTATTTATTTATTTTCAAAAAGCAAAACGTTTGGCCTGAATGGCTTTGTGGCCCTCTGTGTCCTCAATTCTACCCTCTATATGTACATACCAGTTACAAATCCAAATAGCAAAGCCGTCAGGAGCATCCTTTTTTTGGCGACAAGAACTACACATGTATCTTATACACTTGCATAATGTGCCTTCCTTTTCAAGTTAACTAGGTCCACCATGGCATACACATTTAATTGCACCTTTACTGCCTGACAAGAGAAGCTGGAATCAGATCTTAATCTCTTCCCTTAAAAGAAGAGAAAGAGAGAGAGAGAGAGAGAGAGAGAGAGAGAGAGAGAGAGAGAGAGAGAGAGAGAGAGGGCGCATCTTCAACTGTCTGTATTTGCCACTACTGATCTTAGGGGAACTGGATATTTTTTTCACAAAATATCTTCTGGTTTTTCGAGCAAAGCATGGGTCCAGAAGAGTCTGAATTGTAGGAGACAGAGCACAGGTACTGACCGCGCTGACGCGCAGTACCATCCCAGCTCTCAGCACGGTGGGGTGTTAGGAGCCCCGTACTTTAATTTTTTTTTTTTTTAACAAAAGCAATTACAGAAAAGTGCACATTTAACGTGTGACATTTAACATTTTGCCGTGGCAGGCAGCTTCCACTTAAATAGGGCCTTTCTTCGGAACAACAGGAGCCAAAAGGCCTTGTGTCATGGAGTAATGTAAGACACAATCTGGGCTGCAAACGCACAATGAATCGGGAAGGATTTATGTAATTAATTGACCAGTCTTAACCTGTTATCGTGATGTAAGGAATTTGGAACTCATTAATTTGGGCTCTGACAGATTTCATATTAGAGCTGGCAAATATGGATTGAGCCTCTTATTCTTGTAGCGGCTGGAATTTCCATGACAGTGAGGGTTACCGAGGAAGACCTATTGCTAGAGCCAAGCTGCTTTTTTTGTAATCAGGAGCCCTGCTTTGCATTAAAAGAATAATGAAAAAAAAAATTACCTGGCATGGCAAGTAGAAGGGGCCGAGTTCACCCCGCTACAGTGTGTGGTGAGGGCAGCCTTTGCGTCTGGAAGGAAATACTAATTTCAGTCTTAAAGTTAGATGGTTTCTCAAGTATCCTGAGATAAAAGATGGAAGAGACTTGAGGTCAAGGTTCCTTTTGTTGTCAAAGTTAAGAAGGAATTAAAAGATGAGAGGCTTGGGATCCCCTCCATGTGAACAGACACTGCATGATAAAGAACTTCCCAGGGACAGTCGGGAGTTTGGGTGGTGCCTACCCACAGAGGAGCAATCCTGAAGGAGACTGGCTCTCTCAAGACCCACTTCCTATCTTCTGGGCAGAACAACTTAGCCGACCTCACAAGGCCCAGGCGTTAGTGGATAATTTTATCTGGGTTCCCTTCACCCTGGTGTTTAGTGAGTCACCCATTTGAAAACATCGAGCTTCTTTGTGATTTTACAAAAACCCAGTAAAAGCCCAACTTTCATTTTTTTACTCCGCTTGACAGTCAGAAAATTGCTAGGTTAGGGAAAGGTCCCTGAGATTAAACGGAATGTTTTTTCCCTTTCTTGCACATTAGGCCTCCCTTATTGCTATGCTGTGTGATAAGGTTAATACAACAACTGCCATAAGGATCATTAATACAGGAAGATAAGCAAAGTTGCACATTTAAAACGTTCTCTGGGATCATTTGCCTCCTTCTGCCGATAAGGAAGACTTTACTAACAAATCGAGGGCAGAGGCCCAGAATACTTAGATCAAAAGCCCGACTGACCTTTCCTAATGCATTATTATTCATAAATGCTCTTCAAAGTTGAGTATTGACTGCTCTTGATATCTGTAATTGTCACCTTAAAAACTTTCTGCCATTGTAACAACTTATGTTTTAATAGAACAAGTGTGGTTAATAAGTCTCAGGGGGGAAAATGAGCCGGTTTCCACTCATTTTGCTGCCTTGATTCCAACCAAGTGCCACAGGAAAGAATGTTAGTTAGGGCTAATAGGATTTGATCTATCAAAGTACTTGGTGAAAAAAATTTGTTTGGGATGGCCTCGTTAAGGAGTGATTTCTTCAGCTGTGGTTCCGTTGAAATGAATGTGCAGTGATAAACACTCGACATTTGCATCGATATATTAACGTTATCCTTCACACTGAGCAAGAAGAACTAGTAGTTGTGATTGGTATTATTATTTCAGCCGGATAGCAATGAAGACAAACAACCGAGAGCAAGGCGTGGGCAACCGACACAAACCCGACGGCTATTAATAGCGTAGGTGAACACATTGGCCGTGTGTGTACATGATCTCGGGTTTCATATAGGGATTTCTCTCTCTCTTTTTTTTCTTTTTTAACAAAGGGGTGTATGTGGAACTTGACAACTATACTACTGTCAGCTGTGTTTATGTAAAGCGGGGTACAGAGCAGACAGACCGAAGCCCAGCTAACTAGAGACAATGTTGATCTGGATGTCTGTTCAGTCAGATTCTGGCTCGGCTGCTGGATGGTACTCAAGGGCAGTTTCCAACTCTCTGGA